CAAATCTATCTGTCTACCCCTCAACTCACCGCTTCAGTCTCCACCCCGCATCGCTAGCCTACAAAGTGACATATCGGCTTGGATGTCACTCCACTTCCTCAAACTCAACCTTTCCAAAACTGAGCTGCTAGTATTCCCCCCAGCCCGTGCCACCTCCACTGACTTCACCATAAATATCGATAACACAATCATTAGTCCATCCCCTCATGCCAGGGTACTAGGTGTAATCCTAGACTCCTATCTGTCCTTCCAGCCCCAGATCCAATTGCTGGCCATCATGTAGACTTCACCTCCGCACCGGAAACCACTAAGCAACTCATTCACTCCCTTGTTATATCTCGCCTTGATCACTGTAACTCCCTCCTCATTGGCCTACCTCATCGCAGGCTATCCCTCCTTCAGTCTATCATGAACGCTGCTGCCAGACTCATCCACCTTACTAACCGTTCTGTATCTGCCACCCCTCTCTGCCAATCCCTCCACTGGCTCCCAGTTGCCCAGTGGATAAAATTCAAAACACTAACTACAGTATGACATACAAAGCCATCCAAACACAAAGGCCTCAATTTACTATCCGATCCTAAATATCACCCAAACCGTCCTCTCCGCTCCTGGCAAGACCTCCTACTCTCATGCCATCCAAGACTATCTCCAGGGCATCACCCATCCTCTGGAACACCTTACCCCAATCATCAGACTATCACCTATTCACTTACCCCCTACCTATCTCTTCAGCCTAGGGTACTAGGTACGCTTCCAATCACTATCCCCCACAGCTATTGTACCACTCCCCCTCCCTCCTTCAGCTCCAACAATCTGTATTGAACTGTATTGTTACTGTATTGTCTCCAACTATAATGTAAAGCAAACCATTGGCACATAAATCCTGTATAATAATAATAATAATATTAATAATGAAGCTGGCTGTAGGATTACTTGAAATCTTCCTCCGCTTACCCCCTCCCTTCTATGCCACCAAAGAATCTTAGACTGCACCTCCGCACTCATCAAGATGGACATCTATGCTTGTCCCCCTCCTCCATTCATAAAAGCTGTATTATGGCTTCTATGAATGAAACACAACCTATGAATTGAGGATGTGTGGATGAACAAAAGGTCCATCTCTTCTCAATTTTATTACTACCCCCACCTCCTTTTTGAGGTACACAGAGGTGGGGAAGAGGCCTTTATCCCTCAACATTGAGATAAGGGCACTTTGCAAAGGAGGAATTTTTGCTGACCTCCCCCTTTCTTTGCAAGTTACCACCATTTCCAATGGTTAAAGACATATAGCCTGGTATGGTACAGGAAGGGGGGGGCACATGCTTGTTGACCTTCCTTTCATGCCCCCTCCCCCCCCAGGCTGCATACCTCGATAAGGGTCTGGAACATTAAGGTGAATCCCAAGCTGTTTTTTATTTCTTTTTAATGTGTACTGTCATTTGCCACCATCTTGTCCCTCCCCAGCTGGATGCTTTTCTGGGTTCCAGCCTCCCAGCAATTCTTTTACTGGGCTCCTACAGCCTTCTGGGATATGTTTCAGAGATTTCCCAGGAAGCTGGGAAAGAGTCCCCCCCCCAAAAAAAAAAACATTTCTTATTATTATTGCTGGGGAAGAGGGTTGGCGAAGGCAAGTGCTGCTTTGATGCAACTGTGTGTTAATACATACTTAACCACTTCCTGCCAGCCGTACACATATATGTCGCCTCTCGGCTGGTGGCCTTTAACTCCGAATAACCACATATATGCATCCCTAGGTAAACACTTTACTGTGCTGACAGAGCATACTGGAAAGTTCCTGAGGCATACTTGCGATCGGGAGCTTTCCAATCATGTGACCACTGACTGCCAATCACAGCGGTCACATGATTGGAGTGCCTGCCTCCACCTCCTGGCATTTAGATCCTGTTTAAAGGCTGGGAAGGTGTTAAATGCATTGACTTTCTATGTAGGCAATGTGAGTGTACATGAATTTAGCTTGGTATTAGCCTTAGGGAGGGATAATATGTACAAGGAGCCAGCTAATTGCCCTTCAGTACTCATGTGCTATAAGGAAGCATGCTGATAGAAGGAGAGAGCAGAGTGACAGTGATGCCAGATCATTAGTTTGCTTCTTCTTCTTTTACTATCCACTGGAAAAGATCTGTACGTTTTTATTTAGCTGTTAAATTGGAGCTCAGCTTTAATCCTTTAATGCACAACAAAATGAAAAAAAGAACTTTTGGTATTCAACAAACCTGAACAGAAACCGGGAAAATGTGCTGTTATACGTATCACCGAGAAATGTTACAGTGGAATTCCAGGCTAGAACTAAGCTTTAAGTTCACCTTTTTTTTTCTTCTAAAATCCAGCTCCCCTATGTACCAATATACCATAAATGTACCTATGCCCTGTAACAGTAGTTCTGCTATAGGGAGACAGGGAACCGGTTAATGACACCCAACAGATCGCAAAACGCGATACGATTGCCAGAAATCGCATCACATGGATGAGAACACCCATGCAATGAGATTTAAGTGCAGACTTCAAAAAGAGTCCTGCACCTTCTTGGTGCAGATGCGATTTGAGCCATACAAATTGTATGGCTCAAATCACACTGCGCAGACATTTGCATGTAATTTGCACAGGAATGCATTGCGAATCCTGTGCGAATTACATGCGGCGTCCTGCACCGCCTAGTGTGAACCCGGGCTAAAAGATAAGAGATGCATGTTATGTTTTTTAAAACTCTAAATTGAAACCATTGTTCTTGGTTTTGTACCACACCCTTTTCCTCCTAAGATTGATTCTCTTGGCAGTGGCTATGTTTATGCGTTGATGCTAATATTACTACAGTCACCATTTATTTAATATATGGAAATGTACGTTTTAGAACCTCTAATTCTATTGTTTTAGTAATCTTTAGCCCAATAATTGTAATGGAGTAAGATGAATAGAATGATTTATAACTCCTGTTTATTCAGTTCTCAAGATGAATAATACATGAGACCAGATCACATGTGGAATTCAATTCTCTAGAATAAAATAATTTGGATTTCAAAACACTAATAATAATTAATAAAGGATAATGCACAAAGAGAAGTAAGCCATAACAACCAGATTTCAGTTTCCTTGATATTAGGTCAGTCCTTCGGACTGGATGCTATGAGTTGTTGGTACACATTGCTCTTTGCCTTATTGAAAGAGCCAGTAAATGACCCAATATCAAGAAATATAAAAAGTAAGATTACATTTGAAATACTGTATGTACTAGACTACATTCACATGGGAGAAGGCAGCCTTCCATTGCTTTACCTGGGACTGCCTTCTTGCCGTTAACCCCTACTGGATTTTTCACATTTAATACCAAGCAAGGTGCATTTTCATGTGTGATGGTGTCCTTGACCTTAGTGTACCTTAGACCTTGATTGGAGTTTAGCAATGTAGACAGCAAGCCAGGTAAATATTCACTTCTGTCTTTGCAGGGGAGCTGCTCTTTCCAGTCAATTTATTTTTAAATAGCAACAGAGTCACTCTAAGTGTTTTTCCTAATAAAGCAACTATTTCACTCAAAGCAGAGCTCCACCCAAAAGGGGAAGTTCCACTTTAAGACCCCATCCCCTGCTCCCTGTTAAGGATTGGCACCTTTGGGGAGCAGGTACCCAATTTTGACAGGTACCGCGCTTCCACTTCTGCTGCAATCACCTAGGCGATTGAAAGCGGAAGTTGTTCTTCCTCCATCCTTGCCCGTAGTCTTCTGGGACACGTGACAGGTATCAGAAGACTACAGGACCATTCACAACTATAAGAACTTTTCTCTGTTTTTTTTATATGATCTATGCACTAGATGAATAATGGATGAATATTATTGATCATTATGAATTGTATATGAGCACAAAGATTGGTTTTGTTGTATAGTAAAACATTTATGTATTAGAAGTTTAGCACTTTCACATAGTGCCCCCTATTGAGGTTTGTTTTAATCTGACATTAACTGAAACTGGGTGGAAACTGACTGACATCACCAGTGATACTAACACAGTGATCCGTGATAATACAATACACTTTCACTGTACTAATGATACTGGCTGGAAAGGGGTTAACATCATGGGATAATCAAAGGGTTCAGTGTGTGGCTAACAAGTGGTTATGTGTGCTGGGTTTTTTTTTACTAAAAATCAGTTTGTTTCTTCTCCCTGTTTTGCAGGGAGAAGAAACAAAGAGATTGTTCCATCTGTACAGAACCCTGTGTTGTTTGTCAACACAGGGCTCTGGGCTGTGATTGACAGCCCATCAGCAGGTCCCAGCCATGAATCAGATCTGATGACAAAATCCCGCTGTTTCCAATCACAGCAAGAGTATGCAGAGGTAAAGCTCAGTACAATGAGGGCAGGCAGTCCTAATGCGGTTAAACAGAAATCCTCTTCTGAAGCCTCTTCAGAAAGCCATACTTTCAGGACAGTGTATTTTAAGTGTCCCATGATAGCACTGTGTGGTTCCACCTGCCTTCAGTGGAAGAAATCATTAGAGCAGTGGGGAAAACAGACTGAGACTCCCAGAAGTGTGGATTTCTGCACAGACTTCAGTGGAGAATGTCTCTTCATCCCAGGAGTGTTCATCAGCACGGGCAGAAGGAGAGGAAGCAATACAAAGAGAACAGAATACTTTCTCATACAAGTACATGGTACAGCAGGTACATATCAGGGATATGAAATTGTGGGTTTACATATTCTTTAAGATCAATGGCAATAGGGAGGTTGCTGGGGGACCCCATCAAAATTTTGCTATAGGGCCCCATCAGAGTCACTATTTCTGGCATCACAAACTGCTACAGGACCAAGACTTTATAAACATTATTTTTATTCCAAAAAAGTACATCTAAAAACAAAAAAGTAAACAAGGCTAATTATATCTACATGTTCATTGTAATTTTTTGTTCTCCGGGTGTTGTCCTTTAAATAAACCATAGTATCTACAATAATGATGATCTAAAAATGATAATAAAATTTCAAACATAATCATCATTTATAAAATGGATAATGAGTTCTCTTGATTTTCATGGAAGCAGACTTTATCTTGATAATGGAATTGTTTTCCTTCCATGTGTCCCATTGTATGCCTGCTATGTCTATACCTCTGGTCACACGGTGGACCCCGTTCAGATTGGCTAAACCGCACTGGCTGAACCACCAGCCACTCTTGTTGTTGTGCTGACTACAGCTGTTCACTTTGGTGCCATTGAAGAAGCATGAAGGATAACAGTTATCATTGTCAATATCGTAGGTGCTGAAGGGCATTGCATTCTGGTTGTCTTCTTTCTTGTACCCACGGATGGCATCACCTGCACAGAAATGGACAATTATTTTAGGATCTTTCTAGAGAAATTAGACCCCTGGTTTAAAGTGATATCAAAGTTTCAAAGTATCAGCAAAGTGAGCCTAGGAAAATCTATGCAAAATCTATCTTTGTAATAAAATAACAAACATGCTATACTTGTAACTTGGAATTGCACAGAACAGCTCCAATCCTCCTCTTCTCGGGTCTCCTGCCGAAGCATCTGATTCCTCCTCTTCAACGAGTGCCCAGCGTAGAAAGACGTTTTCTATGAGGGCATACGTGTGGGCTCGCTCCCAAGCTTCCTTGTCTGTGTCTATTGACACAGACAGGGCAGCTCAGCTCCACCCCCCCCCCCCCCCACATTCCCCTGTCACAGAAATTGATTGACAGCAGCAATGGCTCCCTCTGCTATCAATCTGCCCAGTGAGAGCACTGTGTACATTGTGTACATACATAATAACATTTTTTTCTTCTTACTTGCATTTACCTTTTTTCATCCTTTTGCTGCTGCTCTCCAGCTAATTTGCAACCACTTCATGTCTGTATGCACTCTAGCAATGGCTGCATAGATTTTCCTAGGCTGGCTTTCTTGATGGTGTCAACAGTGGGCTATTCCCAATTAATGTGTGTTGAAATGGCCACTTGTAGTCTCTATTAGAAGCCTGTGTGATAGATGGCAATGAAGCTGCACAACTGCGAGACCGGGACAGAGTGCTGGCCCTGCCTAATCAATGACCCTCATGACAGGATCAACAGGTATACCTTTAATTTAAGATTTTAAAAAATATTGAAAATGGTTCCTCCATAGAATTTACTTACCTTAAGCTAGACTGGCCCAAATGTATCTTGACCAGTCATCTACATGCCGAAGGTTCCACCCACCAACCCACTGGGACACGGCACATGTGCAACTAAAACCTCTGTATTTAACTTACACTGTTAGACAGTGTTACTTTGTTTTTTGCAGGCTTGTTGCGAATTTCTGTTTGTTTGCATTATGCAATAACCTTTCATGTACACCTTACTTAAAAAGCTATTGAAGAATAGTTACCATTTTTGTATTTTGTATAGCTTGCTTCCTGGATTTGGCATGAAAACATATTGAATGTCTTCAGCTGCCTTTGTTTTCTTGCTGGGTTTCTAATATGTCCCTGGGCCTTTAAGAAGGCATGGGATCCCTCCATGTATACCTGTCCTTAATTTTTCATCTGTTATATATGCTCCAACTTGGAGACTCTCAAATTTAAGAGTTAGGACTGCACTTTACAGAAGAACCTTGGCTTCCACATATATTGGCAAATGTGATCAACAAAGCCCTAAATTGTAAATTGTTAGACAGGGTTCATTTGATTTTTCTTTTGGAAGCTAGCTGGTAAGTGTACTGAAATTGTTTCAGTTTTTTTGTATTGTGCAATGCCCTTCCATGAGAATCTTACTTCAAGAGTTAGTTATAAATTAAATTGGTTGCCGTTTTTGTATAGCATTCTCCAACATACAGTCCTTTTGCTGGAAAGTTGTAAACCTTGCTTCTTATCCAAGAAAGGAGCACTTGCTTGTTGGGTCTGGTGGACACCTTAGCCACCACTGTATCTGCCAGAAACTTTTCTACACACCGGGAAAATGATTAGTGTGCATTGGAAGAAAACTAGCCCACCCATGATACAAGCCTGAAAGCTCTAACTAATTTGTCTTCCTACTTATACAAGTAGGGGTAAATCCCTAAAGTTTAACAGAGTATGGGAAAGCAAGCTAGAATCAGAACATGCCACTTGCGGTTAATATTGTTGGCCTACAAGGTCAAAGATACTGATATGGACATATTGTATTACCCTAGCAGACATGGGAAGGATCAACCTATGGTGACCTAGTCAATGAGTATAACAAGCATGCTTTTCTGCATATATAGACTGATTTTACTCTTGTAGGTTTAGCAACACTTTAAGTCTGAGCTCTGATTAGACCATGCACGGACATTCATCTTTTTCACCTTCAACCACTAGGTGGTCATTTCTGCTGTGTGCTTTGGGTCATTGTCATGTAGGAAGGTAAACCTTCTTCCCATTGACAACTTTCTGGCAGAGACCGGCAGACTTTCCTCAAGAATTTGACAGTGTTTTGCCTCATCCATTTTTCCTTCTATCCTGACAAGTGCTCCGGTCCCTGCTGCAGACAAACACCCCTTAATTGCCATGATTTGCTGAAGGAATTGTGTTATTTAGATGGTGAGCTGTATTGGATTTCCGCCAGATATATCGCTTAGTGTTGAGGCCAAACCATTCAATTTTAGTCTCATTTGACCATAACACCTTTTTCCTTGTGGCCTCAGAATCATCAAGGTGCGTTTTGGCAAAGCTCAGTCGTTTCAACCCTCCCATCTAGTACAATCCACATTTGTGGAGAATTTGTGATATTGTTGTCACATGCTAGTGTACAATCCAAACGCATATATTCCTGCATTAAAAATGGCTGTGTGTATAAGTGGGAGCTGCAGTGACCGTCAGCTGGAACCGAACAGAATCAGCAAGAGCGAATGTCACTAGCACACTGAGGATCACCAATAGGCCCAAAGGTTTTAATGAATGATCACATAGTTACAGCAAGGCAACGTTTTGGAGTCTCGCAGGACCCCTTCATCAGGCATTGTTTGCTAAAGTTGCACTACTAGGGACTGATCCGCTCCAAAAAAAGCTCCTTTCATGCTGAGCTAATCAAAGTGACCACAGCTGATCACAGTTGAAAGTCAAATGGCTTTGTGTGCCATTGAGAAGGTGATTAGCTTCACCTGATTGAGTTTACAAGTCATTTTTAGGAGGGGGGGTGATCCTTTTTCCAATTCAGTGATTCTGTTTTTTTAATTCTTTTCTTTGACATGTTGGTGTTATATCTTTCACTTCGATGTTATAAGTTACAATGAGTAAATACAGCTGGATAAAACAAAAACTGTGTCTGTCTTCATTTCAGGCTGCAATCCAACAAAATGTGATTATTTTATACAGGACTGATTATTTTCTATACCCACTGTATGACCTGCCATTCTTCTATGAATCTCCGTCAATAAGACTTCCTCACATGTGTATTTGATGTAAAAATAGGTGGATTGTATTTAGTTGTGCAACCTCATTAAATATCTGCCGTAAATGAGCCTAACATGTACTGGCAAGTTTCACAGTCAGTTTTTTCACATCAATGTTATATAGTTGGTAACATTGTACCTGTAAAAGTTCTCCCTCTTTATATAAGCAAAACAAAAAGAATAAAAAAAATTACTGAAAATAATTTTTGAAATTACATTAACATGACAATGTTTGAGATTTTAGTGACTTGGTTTTACATTTCTAACAATGGCACCATCCACCTCATCAAAAGATGAAATGTAGTCACAGAATTGTAACCACTTCAATGTTTTTAACCTACTACATTTTGAAGGATCCTTTTTGAACATTTTAATGTTATGGGGTGATGGTCTGACGATTTGGTCTAACTCCATGAACATTCCTATGTTCTGATTGGTTAAAAGATATTAAAATCATGATGCACTGACTAGCTACAAGCTGGGAAATACTAGTTAATGTTCTTGGACTCTCTCTTGTTTAGTTGCCACATTTGCTGCCTTTCTGGTAGAAAACTTGAAATTCTGCCAGAACTTTATCTTTTTAGTTTTCATAGGAAGAGAAAGAGGTAGGGTGAGCAGACAAGGCCTTTTTAGTTTGGTATTATCTTGCACGAAATGTAAAGACTAACACAACCCAAGATCAGTTTTCACCAATCCACCCCCCTCTAAACTATACTTCCCAGAGTAAAGTTTTCTTACCTGGTGAAGTCAGTTATTCTTACCTGAGTGCCCCATCCATATCCCTCGTTGACACTATTTCCTCCTGCATGGACCACTAATCCTGCTCCGCTTGTAAGCCTCTCCGGCTCTTCGCTCCCACATCATCCCTCTTCAGGATTCTAACAGGACACCTACACTCATGTTTTATAAGTGATCACATAATCTCTGTTCTCAGCTGCATAAGGGGCTCAGAGAGCTAGGTGTGGAAAATGGCAGCACACTGATTTTCCCAGTGAAAGACTGAGCAGGTGGGGTTGTCAGCACAAGTCTTGACCATTGCAGGACATGTAGGCTATACTCCCAGCACATTCAGAAAACAGATCATGCTGGAAAAGATGTGCTTCTATGTATAGAGTGATCAGCTTGAAATAGGAGAGTGGGAACTGGCAGGATCACCAGGTATTTCACAGATAGGAAGCAGTACAAAGAGAACAGGTTACTTTTTAACACAAGTACATGGTACAACAGACACATATCGGGCATATGAAATGTCGGGGTAACATATTTACAAGTTTGCTGCAGCTAGCAGAAATGTAACAGAATAGTAACATCGTAAATAGCTGTTCTAATAGCTGCCACATGTTAAAAACATCATGAAATTGTCACATGTATCTGTGCTCATTGAATCAGAAGATGCTGTTAATGTCTATCCAACACAGACCAGGACTTTGCTGGTCAAACTGCTGGGTCCAGGAAGATGCATTGGGGCAATTGGGTTCAGCCATTGCATGGTGTACTAGGGGCACTGTGGGGTCTTAACTGAAGTTTTGTATCATTAGCCTAATACACTCTTCATCTGCAAGCTGTTAAACACCAATTTAAAGTGTTTTTTTAAATTAGATTCTGATAATGACTATGACTTAAAGGATATATGCATATACACAATCCAGTCTTTGCCTTGCCTTGCTCCTGAAGCCTGTGAAAAAAAAACAATAGAAGGGGTACTTTTTCTGCTTAGAACTGTAGGTTTCAGGTACTGTAGTATGCAAGCTACTCCTGGTTGCCAGTAGAGGCCACTGTTGAGTCAGCCCATCACAAAGCCCTTCTCACAATAGTGTCCACCAGTGGTCATTGGGAGAGGCTTTCTTACACACAAAAGCTCCTGTCAATTCAATACTCAAAGACGCTGCAAACCAGAGTGTCTGAAACTTGCAGGTCTTTTTAGTGGAATTTTTTTCACAGGCTGTAGGGGCAAGGAAAAATAAAGGGTAATTAATTGGCCTTAAAAACTATCCTACATCCATAAGCAGAAAAACAGTCCTTCTATATAAACCATGATCTCTATGAGGACACAACGATCTTCAACAGAAAGCAGCATCTAGGATCTCTGCCAATAAAAATATATACTTCATTAGTAATCCATAGAATAACAGATGAGCCCTGTGTGGGCTACAGAAACCTAAACTATCCCAAGTAACAAATGATGTGGCTGAAAAACACAATACAACTGTTCTCATCGCTGGGAATTCAATTTTCAGTGCGAGACTCTTGGCAGTGAGAACTAACGAGCATAGTGCAAGCTGCCTAGTGTTTTACTAAGTAAGAAAGTATCCACCACACAAAACATTTAACTCGTCCCTTTAGGCTCAGTTCACTTTACTTCGATGTGACTTTGATGTAACTTTGCATATTCTATGTATATTCACTGTAATTCACACCAAAGGTAGTGCAGGAACCTTTTCCAAAGTCACACCATGCTGAGTTGCATTGATTAGAACGGGTGCCATTGAAAACGATGAGGTTTCTCTTGTCATGCGATTTTGTGTGCGTCAGAAGCACACTAGTTTTATTTTACTCTAACTTTCAATACGCTAAAAAATATTTTCTTTATGATCAAGACTAAAAACAGTATAGAATTTAAAAAAATGTTTTCTTTCTATTTTTGTAGTCTTTGTATGAAATAGTTAAAACATAAACTTAAAGGGTATGCCAAGTCAAAAAACTTTTTTGCAAGTTTTGCATAGAGTGGGGAAAGAATAGAACTCCTGTAGAGATATTTTTTTTAATTATTATTATCTCTCTGTTTAGAGATATTTGGGCTTACATCCTGCCTTTGCTGACCATGTTTTTACTAGTTAGGAAATGGGAAAAACGGTAACAGGAACACGGACAGAAATATAAATCTAAAAAAGGGGACTAGTCTTCTATCCTACAAAAGCGTTTTTATCGTTGTTTGTGTTGCTGCTGGGGAGTTACCCTAATTTTCTGTTTGGTAAAATGTGGTCAGCTTGACTGGAAGTGAGGATACATTTCTCTAATGGCTTTTTACTGCCATCTGGGGCTCCAACAGAAGAGTTCTAATCCTTTCCCACTCTTTCCAAATCTAGAAAAAAAGTTCGCTTAAAAACGTAACCTCCTGCTAACATCCCCTAAAACTATAAACCTCTACAGCTAACCTAATCCAAACTAAATCTGGCCATAGATGGATTGAAACTCATCCAGTCCAGCAGGGTACGGCCAAATTTTGATCCGTCTATGGCTGTTCCTGCTAGACAAAATTCGATCATTAGAATGGGAATGTTCAATGATTTTCATTTGATAAGTGGCTACAGCGATAAGTGGCTACAGCCAATCAGCTGCAGTGCTAATTAGCGTATTCTGACAGTGGTGGAGTCCCTGCCATCAGAATACAATAGCACAGCGGGGAGGTTTCCTCCATCCACCTCACTTGTGTGGATGGGGAATCCCTTTGTTTGTTTGTTTCTTTGTTTTTTTCAGCAGCATTGTAGTTGATAGGAAAAAAATGAATTATCTATGGCCAGCATAAGTCTTTACTATAATTACCTCCATATTACTGAATGTTCATCATATTTTGTGCCAAGATCCTCTATGCTGATAGTATGCAATGTTGAGACCCTGACAAGATAAACTGATCTGTGAAAAAATAACCAGTGTGCAACCAGCCTAAGAAAATCTGGGCTGCTTTTATTCCACTTTGCAAACAAAACCATAAAACATAGAAGAACAAAGCTGTGTGCATGATCCATGAAAAGTTCCTAAAATCATTATTTTTCTAACCTGCAGTTCCAAAGTAGCGCCCAACATGCATTATGAAGGAGGTCTTCTCATCTTCAATCCAGAAGTTATCATAGGTTGCATACGCCTGTGACCCATCTTCAGCCTCCAGGGCAATATTCAGCATGAAACTTGTGTTTTTCTGATTCAGAATGCAGAAGGTTTTCCTCAGACCCAGCCAAAATTCCCCTGCAAATACAATAAAACAAACTATGTTATGCTGCATCAATGTGTTACAAAATGATCCTATCCCTTTAAGAACAAATTATCATACCATGCATAGTACTCACAAAAAACAATAATATACAGTATATGCGAATCAAGTATTAAAATAGTGAAACAGAAAATCCAACAGATGTAAATAAAGTCCCACAGATTAATAAATATTCAGACAAAATAATGTCCCATAGATGTGCAATCATATAGGTCTTCTGTGTTGTAATAGTAAATCCGGTGTGCTTCCACCAGAAAAGTAATAAGCCTACTTACCAGACTTCCAGACCCCAAAACCATGGAGGTCTAAGCAAGCTCAGCATTCCCCAGCTAACTCCATGTGAACAAATGTGACCTTCTATGTGCTCAACACTCCCTCAGACAATGGTTTCCAGCTTCAACAGAATCAGCAGCACTCAGTAAAGAAAGTACATGGAAAACTCCACAGTGTAGTAAACTTTGTGCCTCCTTTATTTTAAAAGCAGGGTAAAACTACTCACAAGACAGCATGGCTTATTGATTTCAAACAAACCACCACTTCGCTCGCTCTAGCGGATGTGATGGCCTCACTACTAGGCTCTGCCCTATGCATGGTTTGTCCTAATGGATGTCTACAGTTTAGTAAGTTTATGGATGCTCTCAAAGGGCAAATCCTGACAACATCTGAAACTTATCAGAGGATATTAACAGTATTCAGAGAACACTACAATTGTAATATAAACAGAATTTCTGAGTCTGGTGTAATCCATTGCAACAGAATCCAGAGAGCACCTTACAGGTTTGAGTATACATTCTGAAGTCCGTATCTTCCTCTCAAACTTCCCATCCAATATCACCAATCATATTAAGCAAGAAGCCTACAGTGGGTGTGTTTGGGAATAGCTCTACTGCATCCCAATCATGGGGTCTCATATCGCTACATTACCAGGGGCACATTCGTACACTACACCTATCTCTTCAAGGAAGTCTATCCTGCCTTCAGCTAATACCTGAATCTTCTATCTCTCCCATCGGTTCATCCCCCACAGTTTTGTACCACCAGCCCCTCCCTATTAGATTGTAAGCTCCAAGAAGCAGGGCCCTCCTAACCCTCTTGTATTGAACTGTATCATTGCTGTATTGTCTCCCTTTATATTTTGAAGCGCTGAGGAAACTGTTGGCACTACTTGGATGATATACTGAAGTATTGAGCAGGTAGGTCATTCTCCCTGTATATATCTCATGGCATAATTTTAAGTTTTAACTAGAGTAAACTTTTAACACCCTCCCATTGACCCCAGCATATCTTTAAATTTATTTATTTATTTATTTATTTCAGGTACTTATATAGCGCTGTCAATTTACACAGCACTTTACATACATATATATTGTACATTCACATCAGTCCCAAACCCTCAAGGGGTGTACAATCTAAAGTCCCTAACTCACATTCATACATACACATACTAGGGACAATTTTTCGGACAGGAGCCAATTAACCTACCAGCATGTCTTTGGAGTGTAGGAGGAAACCAGAGTACCCGGAGGAAACCCACGCAGTCACAGGAAGAACATGCAAATTCCAGGCAGGTGGTGCCGTGGCTGGGATACGAACCAACGACCCTAGTACTGCCAGGCGGAAGTGCTAACCATTTAGCCACTGTGCTGCCCATGGTTTAAATGGTTTGGAATACCCTGGGAGCAGGAATGATCCACAATCATGTGACCACTGTTACAGTGGTCACATGATCAGAAGTCGGTCAAGCCAGCTACCGATCTGGCCACCAGGGGGCAAGTAATAAAGTGATTAGATGTCCTTGTTGTAGGGATATATATCCTGCCGCTCAGATATCATATATGCAGCTGCTCCCTCCAGACTACAAGGAAATAGAACACAGAGTCCTTCCTGGTTAAACCCCTGACAGGCGCTAACGAGTCCTGCTTACCAATAGTGCACTATGCGAGAGGTAGCTGATTGACTCATAGACAGCCTGTATGTATTACAGATGGATGCCTCCATGGGCCTCGCTATAAATTGCCATATATGGAATCTCACCATGTTTAGACCAACTAGCCGAGCGCCCTCCTTGGCTCCATGTCCAGGGTCCACCATGTCCATGCAGCAGTATGGAGCTGTGTCTGGGGTCTCACCAGAGCCACACTAAATATCCATGCGGGAACTAGAAGCCAGCGTACTGTTCTATATAAAGCCTATGTAAACATCTTCCTGTGCTGGGAGTGCGCGCCCTGTGCACTCTCAGCGCTGTTGCCGACGGGTAACGGAAAGCTCCAGGTGCATACTTGCGATCGGGAGCTTTCAGATCATATGGTTTGAATCCTGGCAGGGACAGTATCTGCATGGAGTTTGCATGTGCTTGCATGGGATTCCTTCTACACTTCAAAGACTTGCTGATGGGTTTATCAGCTATTGCCAAAAATTGGCCCTGGTAGGTGTGTGTGGCTCTAAAAACTCCAGCTGCAGACCCTGATAACACTCTGATGAGTTCCTAATACATCTTCAGCATGCATTTTAGAAATGGAGCCACAAATATCAAGGTTAGCAGTGCAGTAAAGATTGCAACATGACCACAGTTGTAGGGATGGGATGGCATTAAAGTCGACCGAAGGCATAAATACTGATTATTACTCAGCAATGGGGGGCATGAATTTAAGGGCTCATTCACATGGGAAGCCCCATACAGCTTTGTTTACTTTTCTGTAGTAGCACTGAGCTAAGTGCATTCAGTGAATGGACTCTCATTGAATGTATGAACTCGCACAACCCAGTTTGACAGCTATGCAGAAACGAGTCCACAGCTCTGGATGCACAGGCTCTGTGTCAGGGTCTGTGCACCTATCCCTGTGTACCTGTCAAACTCACCTGTGCGGATGAGTCCATACAGCCAATGCATGTTCATTCACTTATATGGACTGCTTGCATGCAGCTCAGCACTAAGACAGACTATTAAAAAAAGGGCTCTTCACAATGTATGGGGCTGAGTGCCCCTGTAAATGAGCCCTAAAAGCAATGATGCAAAGCATAACCCTGTATTCCTCCATTTAAAAAAAATGTAATAAAAAAAATGTAATCTTTAAAAGTAAAAGCAAGCTTTACATATTTTTGGCTGTTCTATATTTCTGTGATCTTCATATTAATTGATTAGCTTTAATGCCTGAACTCTTTCTCCCATCCTAAATGTCCTTTTGTTTGTCTTCCCCAAGCCTAATAAAATATGTGCATGCAACTAGAACTGTGAGTCATGCGGCAAAATGAGTCACTGCAGAAAAGTCTGGCCAAGGAACTGAAAGAAAAAATGTAAGGATATAAAACAGAATTTCACGAATAAATGAAGGTTTTTCTCTCAATGCCTACAAGCACTGCCTACCCGTAAAACTCCAGAACCATTTCTTGTTCTCAGTAAAGGAATAAAAACTTTTTTTACCTATTTATAACACACACTGTATATCTGTACAACAGGTTGAAAAAAGATACTAGTCCACCATGTTCAACCAAAAAAATATAGAAAGCCTCCATATACAAAGTCCCATACCAAGTCATTCAAGAGGACAGCAAAAACAACCTTTAAAACATGATCCAATTTGTTTAAAGCTGGGAAAAAAAAATTATTTCTTTACCCCCCAGAAGGCAATTGAATATTCCCTGGATCAACAGTCTCTGGTGTCATTACCTACGTAAATGTTAGTATTAATCACTTTGGAGGAAGGACTTTGTGCAGTAAATCACTTTTAGTGTATTATGATATGTCTATACATCAGACCAAAGCAGGGCTAAGGGAGGCAGGAAGAGGGAGAGAGGAATTTGGTTCCAAAAGAGGATTAATCCCTGCAAATGAAGGGCAGTTAGGGGCTATGCACTATGCATCAGTTCTCTAAAGTTTCAGTAAAAAAATTTTTTTTTCAATTTTGCAAGCATACTATATGTTTGAACTTTGGCCATTTGGCTTAGAAAGGGCAATAATGGGGGCTTTATGTGCCGGTCCCCTCACTATGAAAGAGTGGCTTCCTAGCAGCCATTTGTCAACATGTGTTGGAGTAGTTTAAGGAAAGCTGACAAAATGTGTAGGGAGCATTAATAGAAAGAATTTGGTTCCAAAAGAGGGTCAAACCCTCCATATGAAGGCCAGTTGAGGACTCATTATTTCTCCAAGGTCTTGGTAAAAATCAAAAAAAGTTTTGTTTTTTTTTCAAGCCTACTATTAGGATTTCACAAAATTAAAGCTACAGTTGTATATGCTACAATTTAAAGGAAACCACAGAGATTTTTAGTTACCTATTTCACACAAGTCTGATATCCGGCACTAAAGAATAACATCATCCAACCCAGCAGGGTTGGTGTTAATTACAGAGCAGGAAATGTATTATTGTTAAACGAATTATATAACGCAGTCAATTTACACAGCGCTTTACACATACATCAAGGAGCTTACAATCTAAGGTCCCTAATTCACATTCATACACCATACTAGGGCCAATTTACCTACTAGCATGTCTTTGGAGTGTGGGAAAAAACACACACAGGCACAAGGAGAACATGCAAGCTTCATGAAGCTAGTGCCGTGGTTGGGATTTAAACTGAAACTGACAACCCTAGTGATGTTAGGCGGAAGTCCTAACCACTTAGCCATTGTGCTGCCCACTAGGAAATTCAGTGTATTTGAAACAACAAAGTCATGTGCTGTCCTGGAACTAGCACCGCTCCTGGGATCAGCCTCCAGAACCTGATATGAAAAACCAAAAGGTTCCCTTTAAAACACAATTAAAGATGTACTGTATACTGATGGAAATTTTTATAACATTGCCTATATGGTCTAACAAAAAGTATTCCTCTACCTGAAAGTTCTCCAAATCCTTCCATGTAGTCAAGCCAAGTTCTCTGGAAATCAATTGTGCCATCAATTCTCTTTTGAAGGACGGTCCATCCTCCTCCTCTGTAATCCATGTCACAAAATGCCTAATAAAACATTATAAAAGAGTATACATCACAGTAATATAATCAAAATAGAATTATCAATTAGGTTTATAGTGTTACAGTATGTAAAGCATCAAGCAATAAATCATATTTTAGATTTTTCTCTAGAGTCTATAAAGGGGTATTAAAGGTTGCATGTATGTTTTGGCACACTTGTCTTTCTGAGCCTGCTTATATAAGTGCCAACACATCATTACAAGCTTTCCACCACCAGAAGCATTACTGTAAAAGACACATTAACAATGTTCCTATTCGTAAAACTCTTATATTTTGTGTTGGCATCACCATACATTTGTAGATGCTAACTATGCATCATATGGAAAAATGTATCCAAATTTCCAAGGAAAAAATGTATCCAAGTAGCTTTCAATAGGATGCTTCACATACACAGGATCATATCTTTTGTTATGTTTTATACTAAAGGGGTCCATTTATAAAGTAGCAGCATAGCAATACCATCATTCTTTTACTTAAAAAAAAAAGAAAAAAAAGACATGTTTTATAAAAGCACAATAATGCGCTTTACAAATGTGCTTTGGGGTTGATTTACTAAAACTGGAGAGTGCAAATTTTGGCTCTGCTCTGCTTGGTAGCCAATCAGCTTCTAATTTCAGCTTGTTCATTAAGCTTTTAAAAAAACCCAAACTGGAAGCTAATTGATTTTTATGCAGGGCTGCACCAGATTTTGTACTCTCCAGTTTTTGACTCCAGTGCTGGCCAACCCTTTTAGGCCTTTAGTCTCCATTTGAAGCACATTTGACAGGGCGACAATGCAGGAGAGCAGTTGAGAGACAGGGAAAGAATGTTGTCACCCCAAAACAGAGGGTTTATGAATAAAGATCTTCATGGCAGGATCACAATTTCAATAAAGACGGCAGATTTAAAAAGGTTGAAAATGACTTTTCAAATTACATTACACTTTAACCACTTGCCCTCCAGAGGATTTACCCCCTTCCTGACCAGGTCATTTTTGCGATACGGAACTGCATTACTTTAACTAGAAATTGTGCGGTCATGGAATGCTGTAAATAAATGAAATTTATGTAATTTTTTCCCCACAAATAGAACTTTCCTCTGCATTTTTTGTGCTATAAGCAAAAAAAGACCTACAATTTTGAAAAAGAAAAAACAATATTTTGACTTTTTGCTATAAAACACATCCAATAAAAATTTTTAAAAATCTTCTTCATAAATTTAGGACAAAATGTATTCTGCTACATGTCTTTGCTAAAAAAAATCCCAATACATGTAAACTAATTGGTTTATGTGAAAGTTATAGCATCTACAAATGGTGGTATACAGGGGCGGACTGACAACTCATGGGGCCCCCGGGCAATAGGGGATCATGGGGCCTATGGAAAAAAGCCTATGAAAAAAGCCTATGAAAAAGGTACCAGGGGCATCTCATGGGGCCCCCTACTGACCCCGGGCCCTTGAGCAGTGCCCGAGTTTCCAAATGGTCAGTCCGCCCCTGGCGGTATATATACTGGAATTTTAAGGTTTTTTATACTAGTAATGGCGGCGATCAGCAACTTATTGCGGGACTGCGGCGGGCATTCTGACACTGGGTGGGAACTGAATAACTGACACTGACTGGCATCCCCCTTGACACTAATACAGTGATCAGTGCTAATAAAAAGCACTGACACTGTACTAATGACACTGGGCAGAAAGGGGTTAACATCTGGGGTGATTAATGGATTAACAGTGTGCTGTGTGTGTTTTACTGTGTGCTGCATGCTGTTTTACTAGGGAGATATGCTGCTTTGTATCTCTCTGCTGTGCAGAGAGATACAAAACAGCATGTCCATGCTGACAGGAGAGAGACCTGTGTTGTTTACCCCTGTCAGCTCTCCCCTGTTAGCATGTATATATACACGTGATTTTGCGCAGCCCTGCTGTCCTGTAGCATACTTCTACTATAGGGCAGCAAGAAAGTGGTTAAAGTATATACGAGATTTCGTTTCCGTGCTTAGATTCAACTGCAGAAATCATCTGACTATTCAGATAACAATGTTGCTGCACTGGGAAAGAGGGAAAGAGGGAAAACACCAACATAGACAAAAGAGGATTTTCGCTTAAAGGAAACTTACACTGAGAGATTATGGGGACTGCCAATGCTGAACTCCTTCCTTCTGTACACTGACCCTAATATTAAAGGCCCATTCAAACCAGGCCGATCTGCGTGCATGACTGAACAGACTGCCTAAAATGCCACAACAGACCAAAAATCACACTTGTAGCAAGCTTTAACAGCACAGCGCATGGTAGTGAGCTACCTCATTTCATGGTGCGTTGAGGGGAAAGGAGGCATTCACAATGAATGACATGCATCACACACCAATGTACATAACATGAATTACTACCCTTTGCTGTAATGCTTTTGGTAAGGCTCACAGTACTGCAGAGCACTAATGCGAATGTGTCCTGAAGGATCCCTATTGCCCCGTACACACCATAAGAAAATCTTACGAAAATGTTCGTACGAGGACTGATCGTCTGATAATCGGATTGTTATAATACAGCTTTTGAGATCCGATCGCGACAATTCATGCGATGATATCCAAAGGGACAAGTGCAAAATTTTTTCCTGTACCATAGCAGATCATAAGATTTTCGTTTATTCGGTACAGTAGTTGTCCGAAAATACAATACAAATACATGACATCAGTTTCAAAATTCTTTTTTTTCATGCGAGAGTTTTCGTATCTTTAGTAACCTTTCAATTTCGATGTGAGACTAGCAGGCGAAAAAAAAACGGACAATTGTTTGTCCAATATTCTCATCGTGTGTATGGAGCTTAACACTTCACATCATACACTTGCCTAAACCCTTAACAGTTAACCTAACCTTAAACATAACGCCTGAAAGCTTAACTCCCCAAGTGTTAACTCTTAATCTGTGCCTTAACACATAGCCCCTATCCCCCAAAATAGATTTTTTTTTTCAGCATGGGGAAAAGGTATAAACCATGCAATATGTTAAGGCTGTCTATATCCTTGTTGGCTAGATTTATACAAATGTCCCCACATCAACCTCAAAATCATATCCTGTGCTACAGTCCACCCCACCAGGCACTGGTAAATACAACCAAAAAAATGGACCAGCAACAAAGACTTGGTAGCTCTTTTTTATGTTTATTATATCTCCAATGCATCCAAACAGTCAGGGCTGTGGATATGGGGGTACCACCAGTCCTCCTGTATGGAGCCCAGGCCAGCAGGGGGCCCAGGCAGGGAGTAAATTGTATGTGGGTGAATCATATGTAGGCAGGGAGGGTGATCGGCACAGTGGGGGGGGGGGGCGGGCAATTGCTGGAACTGTTCCCCTTTATGGCTCCCTCTGCAACAGCTGAAAACTTGCTTCTTCACCTCTCCCTCCCACTGGTTTTCAGCTGCTGCAGAGAGAGCCATACAGGGGAACAGTTCCAGTAATTGCCCCCCCACTGTTCCGATCACCCTCCCTGTCCACATATGATGCACCCACATATGATTTACTCCCTGCCTGGGCCCCCCTGCTGGCCTGGGTCCCATACAGGAGGACTAGTGGTATACAGGGGATCAGTACCAGTAATTTCCCCCCACCGCACCCCTCACCCTCCCTTTGCATCATACATTTCCCCCTGCTGCCCAGGCCCCCCGTGTGTCCCCTCAGTGCTTACCATCGGAAGCTGCAAGAACACAACAGGATCCTTTAGAATGGAGAGTGGGGGAAGAGTCCGGTAAATATGTCACATTTACCAGCCCCTTGCTTTCCTAAATGATCACAATGAGTGATCGGTACCAATCACTCACTCTGTTCATAACTGAAGCATAGTAATCTGTGTTTATTTTTTGTAGGGGGAGGGTGACCTGTCAGGTTGGCTGTATGGGGCCCTGTCGTTTCTAACAGCAACCCTGCAAACAGCATTAAGATATAAATTGTGTCAATAATATAAACTGTGCCATGTAGCATGTACAGAACAGGAATAAACAGCAAACATTTAACTATCCAGTACAGCCACGATTCACCATGTGGTCCAAAAAAAATGTTTTTTTGCTGGAACTGTGTTTTAACCTAACCCTGCCACTTAACCAAATACCTGAAGTAAGCCTTTAACACTTAAACCCACCTCTCTTCCCACAACACTGAACAGATATCCAACTCCTTCAAACCTATACTTAACCTTAAAAGTGAATCTAAATCCCCCATAACCATTAAGTCTAACCCATAAACTAAGCCCCAGACATGAAGCCCAGAGCCCAAACTTTTATCCTGGCCTGGAGCAGCTGCTCTGAAACCGCACAGCTATGCTTTGGAAAATGGGACCTGTCAGCACAGAGAATTTATATCTCATGTTATAAATATACATACATATATATATACAAACATTCACAATTGATAAAAGACCTTTCCTTTTTGCAAAGTAGGCACTGCAAGATATTTGCTCCATTACCTCAAATGAAAATTGCGTTCCTTCAGGCTGTATTATGTATATTCCACTTGGTGCTTTCGAAATGGTTCCAAAATTGTTCTTAATATCACTGCAATCAAAGCCTATGGATAGAAATAGGAAGGACAAATACATTTCCTAGTTTTTGCACCCCACACACTTTGATCCTTGCCACCTCACATTTACTGTACATTAAGCACTACCTGTCAGGAAAAAGGTAGTTACATTTTTGCTGATCCAGCATACATTTTACTCAAATGGTATGGGGCACCATGTACTTTTATTATTATTATTATTTATTATTATTATTATTATGCAGTATTTATATAGCGCCAACAGTTTGCGCAGCACTTTACAAAATTAAGGTAGACCTTAGTTACAATACAATTTGGTACAAGAGGAAACAGAGGGCCCTACTTTTAGAGCTTACAATCTAGGAGGAAGGGTTGAGTGATACAAAAGGTACTATCTGTGGGGGATGAGCTGATATAGGAAATAAATGGTAGCTTACTAGGTAGAAGCAGGATAGGCTTCTTTAAAGAGAAAGGTTTTCAGGGATCGTCTAAAGGTGGATAGATTAGGAGACAGCCAAACAGACTGAGGTAGGGAGTTCCATAGGATGGGAGAAGCTCGGGAGAAGTCCTGGAGGCGAGCATGGGAGGAGGTGATACAGGAACTGGAGAGCAGAAGGACTTGGGAGGATCGAAGAGAGTTGTTTGGTTGATATTTTGAGACCAGGTTGGTGATGTAGCTGGGGACAGAGTTGTGGCTGACTTTGTAAGCCATTGTTAGTATTTTGATTTTTATTCACTGGGCAAGTGGAAGCCAGTGGAGGGATTGGCAGAGAGGGGTAGCAGACACTGAACGGTTGGTAAGGTGGATGAGCCTGGCAGCAGTATTCATGATGGACTGGAGGGGGGATAGCCTATGAAAAAAGTAAGCCAATGAGGTGGGATTTGCAGTAGTCGAGGCGAAAGATAACCAGGGAGCTTGATGCTTTGTTGATGTTAATAACTCTTGGAAAATTGATATATATTTTTGTTTAAGTATATTTAAATCCGTGCATGTTTTTTTTTTTTCATTTTAGAAAGCTAAGGGTTAAAACCTCTTTCAGGTTTTTTCACCATTCGTGTCCCATATCTCTAACTCCCTGTCCTATCTAAGAGGCAGGAAGTGAATGAAAATCCCCCAATAAAAGACAGATGGTAAAAAAAAAAACCTGGCATACTGTTGTAATTCTTCCCCATTCTATCCAAATCTAGAAAGAACTAGACTTTTGGACTTAGATATACTTTAATTGATCCTAAAAATGAAGGTCATAGTACTCTTATGGGATATTATATCCAACACAACTTTAGTCTACATCTTGTTTTTAGAAATTAATATTCTTACCATGTGTTTGAAAAGGTCTGTGAATGAAGGGGTCTGTGTTTTTTTTTTTCAAGACTTCTGCATTCAAAAGAAGAACCTTATTGGTTAGTTCACTCACCTATAGGTGCAACAATAAAAGAAATAAATACCTTCACTGACGTATATAACAATGCACATTTAACCCTGCATTTTTTCCATATGGATCGCTATCCTATTCATGTATGTAATAGCAAGATTTCAAGATTTAACCAAATACAGAATATTGTTGATTTAAAGTTTCCTTACAAAAATCTAACAGATCTTGCTTTGAGTGGATTAGGGTGTTTCAGTTCTTTACATGGTAGACATAGAATAGGGCACCCCCCAAGCCAATAGATGTAGTGTAAACAGCGCACTTTGGACTTTAGGCCCTGGCTGTATATGTGCCTCTACTTGTACCCAAGTAAAGGTTATGCCCCAGCCTTGCTAATAAGCCTGATTCTATCAATCAACTGCAAAAATCCATGATCATACCAAGCTCCATGTCACACTATTGATTTAGATGTTAGTCGTTCAACAGACAACCTGGTGACTCCCACTGCCACTCTATCACTACTGTGTACTGTGGTGACATAGCAGCAGTTGGAGGAACCACAGTACAGTATCCAGTGGGGGACATGCTATCCAACAGAATTGTAAGTGTTGGGAAGCAGCAGTGGTTGTATCTCTTTATGAGGGTAAAGATTTCAAGGTAAGTATGCAACATATTTTTTAACATATTTTTTAATGTATTTTGAGTGCTTCTCAATTAATTTTTTATGATAGAAACATGGCTGACTTAAATGACTAGAGGTGGCAAGATTAATACAAGTCACAACTCAAGGCTTCCTGGGTTGTCTGGGCCTGGGATCCAAAGTGAATTCTCAGAGACAGATTTGAAGGCTGCCTTTGACCAGTGTTGTTGGAAAGAAATTAATGCCAGGTCAGATTTAAGGTTAGAGACCAATAGGCAATTGCTACACATAGGGAAAAATGTAACACGTATTAGGAATAAATCACTAAACAAAAGCAAAATACTCCAGATCTAGGTGATCAATAAATACTAGATCTAACTGCATGTGTAGCAATCACTAATGACTAAACAATATGTGAGTCCACCTTAAAAAAAAAAAAATAAAAGTCAGCAGCTACAAAAACTGTAGCTGCTGACTTTTAAAATACAGACACTTACCTGTCCCTCAGTCCAGCGGTGTCCTCACCACCGCTGGTTTCACCGGCTGTCTTCTCTCCCTGGCGCCGGCATCTTCAGTATGGGTACCCAGCTGTGACAGCTTGCGGCTTCACAGCCGTGTGCCCACTGCGCATGCGTGAGAAGCGCTGTGCTTTGTGAATGGCCCTGTAATTTTCTGGGACCTGTCACGTGTCCCATAAGACTACGGAAAAGGAGGGGGGAGGACAACTTCCGCTTCCGATCGCCTAGGCGATTGCAGTGGGAGCGGGTACCTGTCAAACTCCCCAAAGGTGCCAAACCTTAATGGGGAGCGGGAGACAAGGGCTTAAAGCGGTACTTCCCCTTTTGTGTGGAGCTCCGCTGTAAGGTCCTGGAACAAACAGGCCCCCCCATTCCCAAAGGATAGTGATGATTCTACCTGCATCAGCTGGCAGCGTCAGTCCAGACAAAGTGCAGGTTTGACTATTCAAAGAACTTAAATCATTCTCTCCATGCAAGTCACAAAACTTTGCATAACACACAAAAGGGAATGTGTAACCTATATTAAAACGTAGACATTTCTTTGTATTATGCTTGCATTTATACATATGATACATTTTTTGATTAAGAATTTAATATTAAAAACAGTTTTTTTTGCTTTTTCATTACATACAAGAACAGGTAAAAATGCACTAACCACAAAAAAAAACCTTATAATGCCCCAAATCTTCCCCCTCCTCCTACCCCACAGCAAAATAAAGAACCAATTAGATAAAATTGACACTGTTGGCATTAAATTTTCACAATGCATGATGGAAAATGGTTACAGAGATATGTAGAAGCTGTATGGGGTAAACACTATCAACTCAGAATCTTTACAATAATTAGAAATAGGAGTAAATAAGAATGTTAATTTTACCAAAAGATGTTATAATGATGATAATAATGCAGATACATGTTTTCTCAACTGAAGGACATATTGTAAATGCAAATAAACAATTAAAAATTCAAGGGTCATAAGATGTGTGCAACTTTACCAAACATTGTAATAGAAGAGGTGGTGGGGCAGAATTAGATGATTCCAGCCATCTGCTCCATAATTGTTTGGGCCGGCCCCAAGATTGATATGTAGCATTTTCCCTAGTTAATGCGACATTATTATGCATCTTCCGTAAAAACAAAAAAGTTGATGGGCTGGAGAAATAGCCATTTTTGTGCTATTACTTTTTTTTTTAAATGGAAAAAGTAGTTTGGCCATAAATAATAAGTGCTTTAAAGCAAGTTATCTTACAAACTATAGAAGACAAAGGTTTCAAATTGCTGAATCTCAGTTTTAAAACGGTACAGTAGCATTATTCTCATCCAAAGATATGAATATTAAATCATCTTAGCATTTATTTAACCTTATAAAATTATGCAGAAAAACATTTTACATTGAAATACTATTCTTAGAGAATACTATATTATATCTGTGCATGTGTGTGTGTGTATATATATATATATATATATATATATATATATATATATATACAGTGCTCAGCATAAATGAATACACCCCTTTTGAAAAGTAAGGTTCAATATATCAATAAAAACAAGAACAATTTCCAAAATTTTGACAAAACTGAGTTTTATAGAACATTTGCTTAGCTCAATACATGAAAATAAGGTTAATAATATAAACCAGATTACAAAATCTTCAGTTTTACACAAAATTAGTTGATGCAAAAATGAATACACCCAGCAACAAAAACTACTACATCTAGTATTTTTGTGTGACCTCCGTGATTATAAGGACAGCACCAAGTCTTCTAAGCATGGAATGAACAAGTTGGTGACATATTGCAACATCTATCTTTTTCCATTCTTCAAGAAAAGCATGGATGCTGGATGGAGAGTGACACTCAACTTGTCTCCTCAGAATTCCCCATATGTGTTCGATTGGGTTCAGATCTGGAAACATACTTGGCAGCTGAATCCATGTCACCCTGTTCTTCTTCAAAAATGCAATAGTGGCCTTAGATGTGTGTTTTTTATCATTGTCATGTGGGAAAAGTGCACGATGACCAAGGGCACGGAATGATGGTAGCATCTTCTCTTTCAATATAGAGCAGTACATCTGTGAATTAATGATACCATCAACGAAATGCAGCTCCCCGACACCAGCAGCATTCATACAGCCCCACAAAAAGACACTGCCACCACCATGTTTCACTGTAGGCATGTATTTTTCTTTGTACTCCTCACCTTTGCGACACCATACAGTTTTGAAGCCATCAGTTCCAAAAACATTTATCTTGGTCTCATCACTCAAGAGTACAGTGTCCCAGTAGTCTTCTTCTTTTGTAGGCGGGCTTTTTTGTGCATGGGCTTTAGGAGAGGCTTCCTTCGTGGACGACACCCATGCATGCCATTCCTCTGCAGTGCACGATGCATTGTGTCATGGGAAACAATCACCCCAATTTGGCTTTCTACTTATTTAGTTAACTGCAGTGAACTTGCATGGCGATTTTCTTCAACCCTTCTTATCAGAAGATGCTTCTGTCAAGGTATTAACTTCCATGGATGGCCTGGACATCTCTGTGAGATGATTGCAGTTCCATCTTTGTTAAATATTTATATCACTTTTGCTACAGTATTCTGACTGATAAGTAAAGCTTTGCTGACTTTCTTGTAGCCTTCATCTTTCTAGTGTAAAGAAATTATTTTCTTTCTCAGGCCTTGTGACATTTTTCTTCCATGTGGTGCCATAGTTGACATAGTCTTCTTTTTCAGCATGGTCCCTGGCAAATTCTAGGTGGGCTTTTTTATGCATGGGCTTTAGGAGAGGCTTCCTTTGTGGATGACATACATGCATGCCATGTCAACAATCACCCCAGTTTGGTGTTCTACTTCTTTAGTTAACTGCAGGGAACTTACATGGCAAGACGCTCCTGTCGAGGTGTTAACGTCTGTGGACGTCTGTGGACATCCTGGATGTCTCTGTGAGATGGTTGCAGCTCCATCTTTGTTAAAATTTTGTATCACTTTTGCTACAGTATTCTGACTGACAAGTAAAGCTTTGCTGATTTTCTTGTAGCCTTCATCTTTCTAGTGTAAAGAAATTATTTTCTTTCTCAGGCCTTGTGACATTTTTCTTCCATGTGGTGCCATAGCTGACAGCATGAAATGGGAAGGGCTTTGCTTTAAATAATGCCCTTTTATAATTAGCTGTCTGCTGTACAACTGTTTAATAAGTAATTAGACTCACCTGTAGTTGATTCTGAAAGGAAAGTAAAGGTTTTCTGACACATCTGTTGGGGTCATTCATTTATGCTGAGCACTGTGTGTGTGTGTGTGTGTGTATGTATGCATGTGTGTGTGTATATATATATGTATATATACACTTTATACTGTGGATTCGTATAGCAATTCCATGATATGATCTTAAATGAAAAAAAACATGTAAAAAGGCCAAGTATTGTCTGCTTTTTATAACATTTGCACCTGATTGGAGAGGAAATCCAGAGACTTTTGATGTTCTTCCATCATACTTTTTACCATCCTTTTTGTGCTCCTAGCATAGGAAATAAGAGAATTTTGTAGATTTCCTTAAAAAGAAAAACATAAAATATGGTTTAATATTTTCACGGGGGTATTAAGATTATAATAAATCTATATAATTCTTCGGAAATTTAGGAACTAAGCACATTTCTGGCACATCGACAGGCATGTTTCTGTATGTGCAATATCTTTAATAGAGTAAAACATGGGAAAATCTGCATGTGTTGCAGAGATGTGCTGCATATGCTTTTTTATTTGATGTTGCCCTGACATATGCTCCAGTCCTTCTTGGCATTAAAATATTGTCAATGGTGGGTTCAGGCAACAACAAAGAATTATTCTACTTAATTATAATTATCCAACATTGTTTTTTCAGATGAAATAAAAATAATATTTTTGAGTTTTACCAAAGATTTTCTTTTTTGCCCATTAAGAAGGAGCAGTGCATTGAAAGATCTGTCATAAGCCTGGGGCAGACATATACTATTTTGAGCATACAAAAAAACTTTGGATATCAGATTCTCAGCGGGAGACAAGGAGAGAATAATTCAAAAGGATATAGCCAAGTGAACTGCCTTTTCACCTTTCTTTCATGTCTTTAGGTTATAGGTTGGAATAACTCATATAAGGTCTGTGCTGTATGGGGAAAAAAAAAGGAAGTCTTTGGGTTCAGCTCAAAATAAGTACATTTTTATTGTAGATGGAAATAATGTCAGATGAGTATGTGACAGATGGATCAGAGCTATTGCCAACCAAAACTGCTTCTCAAGTTCCCCAGACTAAGGTAGGATTATCAGGTTTTCAACTCTCTCTTGGTCACCAAATAGCATAGATTTGACTTCATAACCCTCCTGAAGTGAGTGAGTAAAAACTATACAGAGGTTCTACACCTTCCCACTCTATTCAAAAATTTAAAAAAAATTGTTGGCTGAAATCAAGCTTAAAAGAGACCCTGTCATCCTTACCAAAATATAATAATAAAAATATAATAATAAAAAAAGAGGCATGCATATACTTACCTGTCTGATGGCCTGTGTTATAAAATGACATTGTTTTTCCTTTTCTCAGTACTTTAAGTATTTTACAATCCTGAATGTGAAGAATACTTGCTCTCCAACCAGCTATTGTGGTTTTCTCCCTCCAGTTCCTGCGGTACTACAACATGTAGAAGGAACCACAGTGCCCCATGGAGGGAGCAAGTATTCGACTTATCTGAATACTTGCAGCAGATAGGAAGCAAAGATGCAGCATCTTTTCAATACATGGGCTACAAGAAAGGTAAGTATATACAGGTTTCTTTTACAGGTGGGCTATTGAACCTGTGGTGACAGCATCAATCTAATTTTGTCATTTGACTCCCATGCATTTCACCAAACTTTTACCAAAATCTCCATCTTTTCATGGAAATTTCAGGAAAATGAGGACTCTCAGTTTTGCTTATCCCTATTGTTGAAAGGTTCTTCAGCTGCTTGTAAAAATGAGATTTTTTTTGCTAAGAAAATCTATAAATCCTTGGCTTTTTAAAAGAGAAGTATGGTCAAAACCTTTTTGGCCATACTTCACTTGTGGGTCACAGGAGTCCACTTAGTTTTGTTCTCCTGTGACCAAGAATCATATTATAGTGTGCTGTTGCCTGCTATCAGCTGACATCACAGAGATGCTCCAGGCTCTGAAAGGATCCCGACCATATTGTTGAGATCCTGACAGCCACCTGAATGACAGCTGCACCCACCCCCTCTCCAGCCTGGTGCTCCAGTGAGCGAAAAGGAGATCGGAAAGCAGTGACTGACAGTCGCCACTCTCCTCTCTGTGCAGACTGATAACTGAATGATCAGTGGTCATGTGATTGTGCAGTTCTCAGGCTTAAAGCTGGCAGGGGACATCTGCAGCATAGAGGTGAGTATGCATGTTTGTCTTTTCTGATTCCCATATTTCTCCTTTAACTGCCTCCCGCCCACCATATAAGGAAATGACGGATGGACGGCGGTTTCTCGTTCTGGTGGTGGTCATATGACGTCCTCCCACTCTAACCTCGCGTGCGTGTCCCCGGGAGGCATGCAGCACGGTGATCGGTGGTGCGCTGTGTCCCTGGGACACAGTGGATCATTGATCAGCAGAAAGAGCTGATGACGTCGGCTCTGTCATCTGATCAGCTGTGTCCAATCACAGCTGATCACATGTAAATAAGGAAATGCTGATTATCGGCATTCCTCTCCTCACGAGCTGTCACGCTGACAGCTCGTGAGGAGAGGAGAGCCGGTAATCGGCATTCCTCAGAGGGGACATCTACACTGATCATCAGGGCACTGATGATCAGTGCCCTGATGATCAATGTAGCTCCATCAGTGCCACCTGTCAGTTTCCATCAATGCCACCTGTCAGTGCACATCAATGCCATCTGTCAGTTCCCAAGAATGCCATATATCAGAGTCTACCAGTGCACATCAATGCCACATATCAGTGCCCATCTGAGTTGCCTTTCAGTGCCACCTATCAGTGTCATTCAGTGCCGCCTATCAGTGCTGCTATCAGTGCTGCCAATCAGTGCCACCTATCAGTGCCAGTCAGCACCGCCTATCAGTGCCAGTCAGTGCTGCCTATCAGTGCCGCCTAACAGTTGCAGTCAGTGTGCTGCCTATCAGTGTCATATATGAGTGCTGCCTCTCAGTGCCCATCAGTGATGCCTGTCAATGCCCATCAGTGCCACCTACCAGTGCCAGTCAGTGCCACCTGTCAGTGCCAGTCAGTGCTGCCTATCAGTGCCGCCAAACAGTTCCAGTCAGTGCTGCCTATCAGTGCTGCCTATCAGTGTCATATATGAGTGCTGCCTCTCAGTGCCCATCAGTGATGCCTGTCAATGCCCATCAGTGCCACCTACCAGTGCCAGTCAGTGCCACCTGTCAGTGCCAGTCAGTGCTGCCTATCAGTGCTGCCTATCAGTGTCATATATAAGTGCTGCCTCTCAGTGCCCATCAGTGATGCCTGTCAATGCCCATCAGTGCCACCTACCAGTGCCTCCTCATCAGTGCCCATCAGTGTAGCCTATCAGTGCCCATCACTGCAGCCTCATTAGTGCACATCAGTGAAGGAGAAAAATTACTAATTTACCAAATTTTTTAACTTTTTTTTTCAAAATTTTCAGTTGTTTTTGGTTTGTTTAGCAAAAAATAAAAAACTCAGAGGTGATTAAATAGCAACAAAAGAAAGCTCTATCTGTCTCAAAAAAATTCTAAAAATTTCATATGAGTACAGTGTTGCATGACCGCGCAATTGTCATTCAAAGTGCGACAGCACTGAAAGCTGAGAATCGGCCTGGGCAGGAAGGGGGTGAAAGTGCCCTGTAGGCAAGTGGTTAATAAGGCTTGAGCGCGTCGTCAACATTAGGATTTTCACACTAGGAGAGAGGTAGTGACTCACTTCAAACAACCAATCAGGTTAAATTTTTGTTTTCCCCCAGCAACCAGATTCCTGCGATAGGATGAGCAAAAGTTCAGTTTATCAAACATTACAGAAGCATGAAGAACCTCAAAAGACAGAAAGACCTTTACACTTACTGCACATGTTGAGTTTTTTTTCCTTCATTATTAGGGACATTTCTCGGCAGAGCTGAGCACATTGTTGGTTACTTGCTGCCACACTTGTAGACTTCGTATTTCTCTTTGAGGATGAAGTTACGTTTTTAAGAGTTTCTTCTACAATGTTGACTGAAGTGATCCCACCCATTACTGTCCCCTAAAAGCAAAATGATTACAGTCGAGAGTTGATGTATAAAATGGATTTCATACTAAAAGGCATTCTCATTTTTTTCCGAAAATAACTCTGATACTTTTTTCATACTGGACTTATTATCTGTGATTGTATTTCAAAAACAGACTTTTAGATGTGTTCTCTTTAGTGACTATATGTGTCTCAGACAATGCAGTTAGCAACCCAGCAGATCCGATGATGAGAGAAAATAATGATTATGAGTCAGAGCAGTCAATGATTATGAGTCAGAGCTGACCCATAGACTTTCATTAAAGGATAAGTTCATCTTAAAGAAAAAAGTAATATATATACATATAAAATATGTACAAGTTTTTGCAGGTAAAAAAAGTGCATTTTTTTTTTTTGTTTTACACGGGGGCCTGCAAAGTGTTGCACCTATAATCAGTGGATTGCGAGTACAATGCCAGGCTTTTGCAAACACTTCCTCCAGCATTCTGCCCATACCTCTGTATTGGACTTTCAGTCACTGAGCTGCAGAAAGTGGCAATAGATTATAATTCATAGTCCATTGAGACCTACAATGGACTACAAAAGACTGCAGCAGAAACCTTTGTTTAGTTTCAGATTCTTCGTTAACAGCTTTCTCGCCGCTCTATAGCAGATATACTGCTACATGGTAGCAGGGGTGTGCAAAGCACCACGTATATATACGTGATTTTGCATTTCCGTGTAGGGGGCGCGTGCCCTACCTGCACCGTTATTCGTGGCCTCGGCTGTCAATCACCGGGTCCCAGCCGGTGATAACTCGCCGGCATCCAGTGATCGAGGAGCATTACCGACGGAGGGAGAGAACTGTATGTAAACAATCCAGTTCTCTCCCCTGTCAGCTTCTGCACACTGGTTTGCATGGCTCTGCATAGCACAGACTGCCTTGAGTTTGTTTCCCTCTAGTGTTCAGCTTACTGACTGTAACATTGTGCCCTGGAAGCATTGAGAGAAGACCCACTACTGGAAGCAGGGGTATGTCAGACATGTAGTCCGGGGGTCGGGTTTTTACATGGAGCCAGTGCTGCTGAAAACTACAAGGTACAGCCAACTGTAATGAAGTTGGCTAGGAGGAATACTGAGAAGGGATATATATAACTCAGCCCAGGAAAGACTCATCTCTTGGGACCACCACTGAGGTTGAATGGAGGGGCCTGGCCACTCTTGATACTCAGAGTAGGCCTTGCAGACTAGACAGCACAGGGAATCTCCAGCAGGTGAGCTACATACCTTCAGGCACACCATCTGTTTCCAGCCCTCTGCTGATCAAGGGACTGCCCAGGGTCACTCTCATCGTCACTGTGACAAACCCAGTAGAACCCCAGCATCGCCAGTTGGTGTCTCTCACTGCACGCAGATTCCTCAACTGTTCCGGGATGACTTCATTTCATGAGCCTCCGTATCTTCAGGATTGGTGAATGGATAGAAGCCCACACTAAGTAACCTCTCCCAAAAGACACTGCATGCACATTTCTTTAGACTACCAAGCTTTAACAGGAAACATTTTCACATATTATTCATTATTGCAGGTTGCCATTGCACAGCAATCCCTCTGGACCTTGATTGAGCTAGCTGAAGATTCTGGACACATTCTATTGCCAAGACTTTTCCCTCTTGTCTTCACACTTTTACTCAAAGGACTCTGCTTTATCAGGGGGAATTCACACTCAAAAATAGTTACTGCAATACTTACATATTGATTTAATAAAACTGTATTTATAATTCTGGGACCCTGGCATCAGGACTTTAAGGGAATGGATCGACACAGGAAAGTCTTCCTTCTTCCTTTTATACCTGGGGTCATAGGTTCTTTAAGGGCCTACTTGTAGTTGCTGTTTGATTCACCTTCAATGTATATCTGTGCTGTTTATCTTCCAGCGGCCCCTTTCGCTCCCACTAACTACACATGCAACATGGACTGCGCTCGAATCGCAATTGTGCCATTCCAAAGCCAATTGTGCACTTATTGTGGCTTCCAGCCAGGTACAGACTTGTAACAATGTAGCCCTTGCTTTTTCTTTTCTCTTGGTCTAAGGGACCGTCTTTGCACCAGACACTTAGATTGGTAAATCATATGCTAATCCTATTTCTCCACAACCCCACTTTCACCCCGGGCCTTCAACCTGCAAAATTTGCTTGGTCAATGAATAAAGGTTTTATAGGGCTAGTTTACTTAAAAAACATTGAGGTGGTCTATCCTCCACGATTAATTTCACATGTCCAACAGACTTTTTCAATATTACCAACTAGCTAATTAGCTTACATGTTTGGGACATCATAGAGATTTACTACAATGACACCTTTCGAATATCTTTATAAGACTCTTGCCAGGATTACACGTCACAAATCTACTAAGTGTACTATCCTTAATTCAACTCCAAAAAAATTTCCTGTGAGGATAGATGGTAACAGGACCTGGAGAATGGCTTAGAATTAGAATTGGCATTGGCCTCTAACATCCATATCATAAATCAGTACTTCTAACATAGAAACATATTACATGGTTCCACCTTGCATAACTTCCTTCATTCCAAGTGCCTTCCCTAACTGCTTCCAGGATTTGGGGGGGGGGGGGGAGGGGGGCACAGTATACCACATGTGGTGGCCTTGTATGAAACGTTATAATTTCCCTCAAGCAAATAAATCTCAGAAAATCCCCATCAGAAGCACTGTTAAATCAACCCATTAGGGAGATAGCCAGACGCTGCAGAAGACTGATTGCATTAATATTCATAGCAGTGAAAGCCCTATCTTAAGATCCTGGAAGGCTTCTTCCATCCTTTTAGAACTAGACAGAGCCTAATTTTTCTGGATAATGACCAATGAAAAATGATCTGAAATCTTAAATGATAGGAAAACCTTCAGCAGTGTCTGGGACCTCTGGACACAATATAATCTTGGGAGCCTTGAGGGATGAGTACCTTGAATTTTACATTGATCAGTTGGCTTACTTTGGTGTTCTCTGAAGTTTTTTGCATTCTTGTGGCCAATCATATATCTGTTTTTACATTTTTCTTAGAGATTTTGTCGAGGGAATTTGGATTTGTATCAGTGGCATCAGCTTTAGTTGCTTCTGAGATCAATCAGAATTCACTGATACAGGTGAAACTGAATAATTAGAATATTGTGCAAAAGTTAATTTATTTCAGTAATGCAACTTAAAAAGGTGAAACTAATATATGAGATAGACTCATTACATGCAAAGCAAGATAGTTCAAGCTGTGATTTGTCATAATTAGTGATGATTATGGCTTACAGCTCATGAAAACCCCAAATCCACAATCTCAGAAAATTAGAATATTACATGCAATCAATAAACCAAGGATTGTACGTAGAACAATATCAGACCTCTGAAAAGTATAAGCATGCATATGTACTCAGTACTTGGTTTGGGCCCCTTTTGCAGCAATTACTGCCTCAATGCGGCGTGGCATGGAAGCTATCAGCCTGTGGCACTGCTGAGGTGTTATGGAAGACCAGGATGCTTCAATAGTGGCCTTCAGCTCTTCTGCATTGTTCGATCTCATGTCTCTCATCTTTCTCTTGGCAATGCCCCATAGATTCTCTATGGGGTTCAGGTCAGCCGAGTTTGCTGGCCAATCAAGCACAGTAATCCCACGGTCATTGAACCAGGTTTTGGTGCTTTTGGCAGTGTGGGCAGGTGCCAAGTCCTGCTGGAAAATGAAGTCAGCATCCCCATAAAGCTCGTCTGTGGAAGGAAGCATGAAATGCTCCAAAATCTCCTGGTAGACAGCTGCGTTGACCCTGGACTTAATGAAGCACAGTGGACCAACACCAGTAGATG